GCGGCGGCGGCGGCGGCGGCGGCGGCACACACCTTTAATCCCAGGACTTGGGAGGTAGAGCCAGGCAGATCTCTATGAGTTCGAGGCCAGCCTGGTCTACAGAGCAAGACCCAGGACAGGCACCAACACTACACAGAGAAACCCTGTCTCAAAAAAAAACCAAAGAAAGAAAGAAAAAAATCTTATTTTTCCACAATGCTGGTTTTGTCACACCACATCTGTTAACTCACTAAAAAGACCATCAGAATGAGCAGTTTGTGATGATGCTAAGTGTATTAAAGTCACTGCAGAGGCACATATGCCAGGAATAAAATTCAAAAGGATTGACTCAGAGGATGAAATGGGCAGAAAATATTGACAGGGTCTGTTGTTCTGATCTCTGGCCTTCTTATGTGGGGACCTGATCAGAAACAGGTGTACTTGGGACTATAAAAATGGCAAGGGAAGATGATTTTATTTGCATACAGTTTTGGCCAAAGGGTGTGGGCAGTTTCTAAGGGCTCAGAGGAATTCTAATTTCTCCCCACCCATGGCTACGTTACTGTAGCAATAAAGGCCAATTAAGAAAAAAATCTCTTTCAGGTCAAGAGAATACAATTTCAGGCCTAGGTAGAGAACTGACAATCACCTGACCAAGAATCAACCCCGAGGAAGGCAAAATCAACTTAAGCCTTGCTAAAGAGCTAAGTGAAATAATTTTTTTCTTTAATAAGATCCTTCTTCTGAGTTACGTATTAAAGCACAGCTGTGGTTGTTCTTTTGATCTCTGCTCACAGCTTGCTTTCCCTGACACACTGGGCTTCCTTACTCTTATTCTAAGTCCTACTCCCTCCTCCACTGCATGGCAGCTGGTCCTTCATGCTCCTGATATCCATGTTGGTTTAAATGCAGTGAGTATTTTTCCCCTTCCCTCTTCCATTCTCCTTCCCTGGGTAAATATTGAGATTACAGCTTGCATCTTCTGGGCACTTTTATTTTAAACTCTAATAAAATGGTTGCAAGCTCCTGTTTTAGTCCATTCTTAAGTTATTTTATTAATGAGACTAAAAACCCCAAAGGGAACCCTTAATTACCCCAGTTCCATGTAGCAACCCAGATGGGTTCCACCCCCACCCCAAATCATGGTAACAGCAGCCTTACAATTCATAGTTAATATGAAACAAAACCCAGAAGATATGCAGACTTAGCTGTTAGGCAGTTTAACCAGGCTTTTCCTGCGGGGAAGCCCCTCGGGTTGCCTCTATGGTCTCTATTCTCAGCAGTTGCCTTCACCCTCATCACAGAGGGTCTGTTACATATTTAAAAACTGTGCAGTCACAGAGACAATTTGTGTTCAATTTAATGCCTGAGAAAACTGGAGCAGACATTCCATCTACAATCCCACGTTCAAAA